GGCAGATCTCTTGTGAAATTGAGGCCAGCCTGACTGGGACTGGGGAGACCCGCTTAAAAAAAACATAAATGGAAGGAGCAATCCATGGTTTCAAGAAAATATTTGTACTAATATCTACCGGTAGATTTGAAGCTTAGTAGTAGAGCATTTTTCTAGCATCTGCAAGGCCCTGGATTCAATCCTCAGCACCACAAAAATAATTATGGTTATCCTGCCTAATAAGGAATTCATATCTAGAACCTAAGAAAAGTTTGTACAATTCAACACCAAAAATAATTCAACTCAATTTCAAAATGGGCAAAGAATTCTAAAAGACATTTCTCCGAAACAGATACATAGTCAATAAGCACATAAAAAGATGTGTAACATTACTAATCATTGACGAAATGTGAATCAAAATCACAATGCCTTGTCACGCCATATACATTAGGATGATCACTATGAAAAACAAAAATCTACCCACAGTTCAAGGATGAACACTGAGGACATCCTGTGAGGGACAAGTCAGTCATGAAAGATCAAATCATGTGTGACTGTTTAATATGAGCTACCTAGAGCAGGCAAAGTCATACAAACAAAAAAGTAGAGTGGTAGCCAGGCTGGTGGCACACGCCTTTAATCCCAGTACTTGGGAGGCAGAGGCAGGCTCTGTGAGTTTGAGGCCAGCCTGGTCTACATAATGAGTTCCAGGCCAGCTGGGGCTACAGGGAGACCCCATCTCAAAAAGACAAAAAAAAAATAGACTGGTGATTGTCGGAAACAAAAAAAATAAATAAGGAATGCAACAGGAAACTGTTGCTTAATGAGTAGAGAGGTTCCGTCTGTGATGACGAGAGCATTCTGCAGATGATGGCTGCCCGGTGACATAAATGTGCTTCATTCACAAAACTGGTACACAGAAGTGGTTTAAATCATGGTTTTATAATTAGCTTAGCAGACATTATGTGGCTACAGGTTTGTCTATGAGAAAAATATTTAACACCATCAAGAAAAGCTAATAGAAGAAAATGAAACAAAAATATTTGAATGGCCGGTTGTGGTGGCGCACACCGGTAGGATACGCTGAAGAGGCAGAGGCAGGAGGATCACGAGTTCAAGGCCAGCCTGGGCTACACATTTTGTGGGGTGTGGTGGTGCATGCCTTTAATCTGAGCACTCAGGAGGCAAGAGGCAGGTGGATCTCTGTGATTTTGAAGCTAGTCTGATCTACATAGCGGATCCAGGCCAACTATGGCTACAGGGAGACCCTGTCTCAAAAATACTTAAAATATATACATAAACATATATATGTATATATTTGAATAATTTTAAAGAAAGCAAGGAATAAAGCAACAAATGACTTAACAAGTGGAAGAAATGGCCTTTCTGTAATTAAAAATTAGAAGCAAGCTGTACAGATGTTTATAGGACGTATAAACGGTTACATTGTGGACATTCCATACATTTCACAGTGACTTTTATTGAAGACAAAAAGTTCTCCAAAATCTAGACATCTCACTGTTACCTTTAGAGGCACTCTTCTTGCTCTGGGACCCAATTTATCTTAAAATTACATGAAAACTAAAGATGAAATAAAGGGGACTATATACTTATGACTCTTGGGGAGCCATAAGCCAGCCTAGAGGGAGACAGGAGACATTACAGTAATCTAAAATGAAATGTTAATTGTACCCTGGAGGATCACAGTGACACTCCCTTCCTCACTCAGCTGTACCCCGCTCTGAACTCTCCTCATAAGGCTCATACCCCTCTGCTTTCAAGTATTCTGCAGCAAAATTAACTGATAGACAAAAGCCACTTTTTGAGCTTCCACTGTAGAGCAAGACAAGGGAAGACCTGGGTGCCTGGAGCTCACTGGGATCTTTCTACAGATGCTCCTTCACCGCCAGTTTTATTGTGAGCGGATAACCCATCATAAACTGACAATACGGTGAGTCAAAAGTGCATTTGGTACAACTAACCTGCCAAACACCGCGGCTTAGCAGCACAGCACACTGCAGAGTATCCATTGCTGACTCTCATGACTACAAGGCTGACAGAGATACGCATCTCAAGAAAGCAGCTAGCAGGTTCCTCTTGCTACCCTTTCCGTGTCACTTTCTCTATTCTGGGAAAAAGGTCAAAATTTAGAATTCAGTTTCTACTGAATGCTTGTCCCTTTTGCACCATCACAAAGTGGAAAATCGTTAAGTGGAACTGAGCCAGGCACTGTGTGTACAGCCTTTATGGAAATGCCAGTCTCCGCACTGAAGCCCACTCCTCAAGGACCAACTGCGGGACTGTGCCTCTCCCACTCACTATCGCTGTCGTCCAGCACAGCACCTGTTGCTATATCTGTTTCTTTTGAGAATTTTAGGAAGAGACAAAAGGTAGCCTCAACCATTGACTTTGTATACTCTAGGATTCCCAGGATCAGGGCCTGGAGTTTGTAGTTCACGCAGGGAAGTATCCTTGAAAAGATGAAGATTCTGCATCTATCCTCAGACTTTTCCACCTCAGCCCAACCAGGAAAGGCAACTTTTCTTGGTTGAGAAGCCATTAGATTTTTTTTTCTAACACATATGGCATGGATGCTAGCGCCAATAAAATCCTTTTATAATATAAATGTGTTTTGGCAAACTTTTATGAGTTTCTAGCTATGTGATTTCATCCAAAGCATCTTTGGTATCATAATAATTTTACAATGAGCTGTTGACTCAGGTGGCTGGTACCCAGATCTTGCTCAGCTTAACACTTCCTTAAACTTCCTTTTGTAGTGATTCATAAAGAATGCCTTTATAATCCAAAGTCTGACAAATCACATCATTTAGCACTTAGAAAACTATTTTGTTTCATAACTCTCTACAATGCTCCCATTACCCTTCTATGCACAGCCCAGGAAATGTAAACACCTTTATTTCAGATTTTAGGGTTACCTCTTCAGAGGGGGGAATGTTGGATGGGAGGGAGTGGGCATGGATTTGATCAAACTTTTTAAAATGTCTAAAAGTCTTCCAAGAAAAACGAGCGTTCCTTTAGTGTGGTGGTGAGAGGCGGTGGTCGTGAAGTCCCAGCCTAGTTGAGGAGCTATTGGTAACTGACAGCTGGGAGAGGCAGAGTCGGTTTTCTTTAAGGAAGTGGGCCCTGGTAGGTCAACCATTGTGTGGTGGCTGGCCCCACACCCAATAGTGCATGGGCAGCACAAATTTGACCCGATGTTACTGGAGAATAAGTTTCCTCCAAGTTTGTCCACTTATGTAATGGTGTTTTCTGTCCTCCCCGCAGCTCTGAGATTCATGAACAATTCAGCAACAAGCACTGTGATGGAGTTCATCCTTCTTGGCTTCCCTGGTAGTCAGGAGATGCAACATTTCCTCTTCTCATTGTTCCTTGGAGTCTATATATTTACCACGGTGGGAAATGGGACCATTGTCTGTGCTGTGAGGTTGGATAAACGGCTCCATACCCCAATGTATATTCTCCTAGGAAACTTTGCTTTCCTTGAAATCTGGTACATCACTTCCACTGTACCAAAAATGCTACTTAATTTCCTCTCAGAGACAAAAACCATCTCTTTTGTTGGCTGTTTCCTCCAGTTCTATTTTTTTACTTCCCTGGGTACAACAGAATCCTATTTCCTCTGCATCATGGCATATGATCGGTACCTTGCTATTTGCTGCCCGCTGCATTACCCAACCATCATGACCTCAAAACTCTGCTATATCTTGATAGCTCTCTGCTGGACATTAGGGTTCCTTAGTTACAGTGTCTCCACTGTGCAACTCTCTCAGTTGCCTTTCTGTGGGCCCAACATCATCGACCACTTTGTGTGTGATATAGATCCACTGATGGCTCTGTCCTGCGCCCCAGCTCCTATCGCTGAGCTGGTCTTCTGTATCCTGAGTTCCCTCATCATCATCTCCACTCTTCTGTATATCCTGGGCTCCTATACCCTTTTACTGATCACTGTGTTGAAAGTCCCATCTGCAGCTGGATGGAGGAAGGCCTTTTCTACCTGTGGATCACACCTGACAGTGGTGTGTTTATTCTTTGGCGCTCTCTTGGTAATGTATGTGAGTCCAACAGCTGGTAAACCAGCCACGATGCAAAAGACCATGACTTTGTTTTATTCTGTCGTGACTCCCTTCTTAAATCCTTTGATTTATAGCTTAAGAAACAAGGAGATGAAAAAAGCATTAAGGAAGGTCCTGAAAATATAATTAATATAAAGTGATCTGTCTGAGACCAAGAAAACAACTGTCCAGACAGAAACGTACAATTAAGAAAGACTTGGCTTTCTACTTCTCAATATGGTCACTGGAGAAGATTGTCTCTCAGAGGCGTCCTCGTTGTTTAAGTCCATAACTAACCTGGCAAGACAAACCATCGTTAGCTGACTCTACGGTCCAGATGTAACAGGCATGTTTTCAATGTTGGTGACTCCAGTGATAATATATGAGGGTATTTTATTTTAGTATGCTATTTCATACCATTTTGGTTTTAATTCTTTGGAGATTGGGAGTGGGAGGAAGAAATTAGCAAACTGTATGTGAATCACCACTGATATATTTAAAGTTTTTCTTAAAACAGTTCAATATTTTAAAAAGTGAATAAGGAATCACATTTAAATGCCTAATGGATATTTAATGATGGAACAATCTTCTAGTCCCCGGGTCTCTGGATGTGATATATTTAAAGCTTTTTCTTAAAACAGTTCAATATTTTAAAAAGTGAATAAGGAATCACATTTAAATGCCTAATGGATATTTAATGATGGAACAATCTTCTAGTCCCCGGGTCTCTGGATGACTGATAGTCTACCAGAAGAGGGTCAGACTAAAAGCTTCATGCTTATGTATGTAACATATGTTTCAACATTACATAAAATATTAGTCATCACTTTAGTTAATAAATATTACTCTAGGATCTACTGTATCGTAGGTACTTTACTTGGTAGTAAAAATATCTATGACCAAAATCCACTATCCCTATGGAGTTATAGTCTAGCTGGGGATAAGCAAACAATAAAAAGTAAACAAAACATATAGAGTGACAGAGCACATAGTATGCAGAAAGAGACAGATATGTGGAAGAAAGAGCTGGATGTTAAGTAGGCGATCATGGAGGGTTAGCTGGGGTTCCATTAAAGCAAACACTTGAAGGAGATCAGAGCCTGAGCCACACAGACAGCCAAAGGAAGAGCATTCCAAGCAAAGAAAAACGGGGCTTTTATCAGCTCCCGAGGCAAGACTGTGTCCAAGCACACGGAGTTTGGCTTGACTGGAGAAGAGGGATTAAGGGGGAAAGTATTTTGACAGAAATTAGAGCTTAAACAGAAGGGCTTGCTGTGTAGGGCTTCTTAAACCATAGTAACAACTGATTTTTACTTATGTGTCCATTTAGTCACCAGTAATCTTTGTATACATCATGAATAGGGCTTCTTATCTTTCATTTCCATTAATATATGTTAATTATACATGGTGGGTTTTATCATGGCATTTCCACACATGTGTACAATGTATTTTGATCATACTCACCCCTGTGACCCTTGCCCCTCCCTCACACTGCTCTCATTCCCTTCTTCTTCCCAACTAGTCCTTTTCTACTTCTTTTATTTACACGACACAGTGAATTTCATTAGGGTTGCTTATAGGAGAATGGGAGAGTGTTGTTTAGAGGAACATAGTAACAACAATGGTTATAACATGGAAGAAAATGTCTCTCCCTCCCTCACTAACCGTTAACTACATATAAATCCTCAGGACCTCATGAGCTTCTCTTCCCTCCATGAAAAGATTTTAATGGGCACAATCTTATACAAATCTTGTGCTGATAAGTACAAATGAGTGATTTCAGGAGAGCTGTGGCTGTATCATACCCAGATGTCAGCATTCCACACCATCCTTTCTTCCGGATTTTGCGGAGTCTTTTTGAGACAGGGTCTCCCTGTAGCCCCAACTGACCTGGAACTCATTATGAAGACCAGGCTGGCATTGAACTGACAGAGATCCTCCTGCCTCTGCCTCCCAAGTGCTGGCATTAAAGGCAAGTGCATCATGCCTGGCTTCTTCTGGATTTTACATCTTTCCACCCCTTCTTCCATGATGTTCCCTGAGCCTTGGAGGGGGATTATATAGATGTTTCATTTATGACTGAGCATTCATCAGTCATTTATTCTAATCACTTTGACC